GAGAGAGAGAGAGAGAGAGAGAGAGAGAGAGAGAGAGAGAGAGAGAGGTGCGTGTTCTGACTCACGTTCGGTCACCTGTCATTATGTGGTTGTGCAGGTGAAGATGATTATGGCAACTAATCGACCCGATGTGCTGGATCCCGCTTTACTTCGGCCTGGAAGGCTTGATCGAAAGATTGAGATTCCATTGCCAAACGAGCAGGCACGGATAGAGGTACTGAAGATTCATGCTGTTGGAATTACGAAACATGGTGAAATTGACTATGAAGCGGTGGTCAAACTGGCTGAGGTAAGGAAATGAGTTGTAGCATTTGGGTTTTCCGTTATGTTTTTTTCCTGTTAATTGAGTTATAAGTTGTAAACTCTTTCGTGTTTTTTTTTTTTTTTTTTTTTTTTTTTCCCCTCTGCAAAGAAAATGAGAAATAGCCGGATGACAGAATCAGATTGCACAATCACATTGAAAGCCAGAAAGTCCCACAATGTCCAGGCAGTAGCATTGCACCAATAATACACGAATGGAGAGTCGTAACACTGAAACCGAAGTACATGAAGATGCCGCCCAATGCAGACCATCGCCAATACCAGGTATGAGCCCTCACATCATTGTAATGAAGCCTGCAGATTCTCAGTGGGCTGTACATTGGGCCGAAGGCGAAGCTTGGGGCTTGCCTCGGTCGGGTCGCGTCTTAGGTTAGATTCCTAATTTTGTTTGGCTGAGGGCTAAACGAGGTACCTGCCTGTAAGGAAATTCGTGAGGGACATATTTGTAATTCGGGAAAATATAGGCCCGTACTAACAGAATTTCCTACAGCAATCCTAACTGCGAATAGCAGGCCCGGGCTACCTCTAGGACAGACAGGCCCTAAGTGCCTAAGCTGATAGACGGTCCTATAGCCTATAGCTGGGTTGGGAGGGGCCCTAGAGGCCGAAACAGAATCGGTACCGGTCGGTCAGTCAGTCCGGTTTAGGTCGAGTCTAGGCAAGTTTAGACTATGGGTAGGATGGGCACATCGGTTCAGGGCTTTTGGCAGTTGGTACCAAGTACATCGCTGCTGTACTACGCGTGAACCGGAAGTGGTGACGGCTCAGCGTGTTAGGAGACAGGCATAGCCAGACCTTCGGAGCGCCGGCCATAGCTGGGACCTGGGCTGTACTCTGCCAGCACGTAGGGGCTGACAGAGGTCTGGGTTATCGAGGTCTGCTGGAGGCTAGAGAGGTTGGTGCCCTGCTGGACCCTCCTCCGGAGTGGGGTTCCAAAGTTGTGGCGCTGCAGCCATAGCTGCAGCTTCTTCCTCAGAGGTCATCTTGTCAGGAGTTGGTGGCGCTGCTGCAGACTTCCATCCGGGAGGTCTTCGGACACTTTGCCATTATCAGATACTGTGGCGCTGGTCTTCTTCTTCATCCTCTGAGTGGCGCTTAGCCTCAGAGGCCTGTTTCAGCGTGGCGCTTCCCTTTGAGGCTGCATCTGGGTGGCGCTTGATGTTTCAGGGGCTCAGGGCTGTTACGAGTGGTTACTCAGGGTTGGGGAGTGAAGACTGCTCATTTCTGAGCAGCGCACTGTAGTACTGAGGTTATCCTGACAATTTGGGACTCTGAGTTTAATAAACAGTGTGTAACTGGGTTTGGACTATCATCGTTTCATTGTTTCCTGGATGTGATCTGCTCGGCTTTTCTTTATGACTGGTTGTGAGGATTGAGTGCAGTGAATTGCACTTTCAGTGTACCCTGTCATATTGCATGGTCAAGTCTTCCGCTGTGTTTCTCTCCCTGTCTGGTGTGATACTCCTATCCTCTCCCCTTCCTTCTGTGTATGTATGGTCATACCTGGAAGTTTATGTGAGTGAGTGTTGGTCTTCAGACAACAAACAACCAGAATCATAACATCATCATCCTCATCTCTCTCTCTCTCTCTCTCTCTCTCTCTCTCTCTCTCTCTCTCTCTCTCTCTCTCTCTTGTCTGTCCACNCTCTCTCTCTCTCTCTCTTGTCTGTCCACCTTGTCTTCCCTCTGTACACCCGAAGACCACCCCTGCGTCTTGCTGTACTCCAAGCCTCAGCCAGCTATGAAAGCTGGGCTATGGCGCTGCCCTCAGCAGCGCCCTCTTCCCACACAACCGCACGTGCACAGCCCCTGGCAAGTGCCTCAATGAGGCTTCAGGCAGCGAGCTCTTTCCTATATGGAAAGAGTCTGCCTGGCCTTCGACCTGCACTAGCGGTTAATGGAAAGCTAAAAATTCGGGGTTTTTCGCTGCGTCGCTACAAGCAATGTTGTCGAAACTTTTGCGAACAAACAACGCTTCTCGGCTGGGCTGGGCCTGCGCCCAGAGGCTTCCGATGGGCTTGAGGTTGCTGGGCCCCTCTGCTGGTGCTGCTGGGCTTCCTTCAGTTGCTCCGCCCAACTGTCTGTGTATGCTGCCGCGAATGTGGCCCAGGGCCTGCACTTCAGGAAAGGCCTAGAAGGCCGTGGAAAATCTTTGCTGCTTGGGTCCATGGGTTCCCTCAACCAACTGACGCGACACAACTGCCTGAAATCCCAAATACAAAATTGACAGTATTCGGCCTCTCGTGATTTGTTAGGCCCGCCTTCACTTAGGGCGGCACACTTGCATTATGGGCCCCCTTGGGCCTTCCGAGGAGCCTTATCCTCGCATTCCCTCCTCCTTCACTTTGATAGTCCTCTGAGAAGTTCCGTAATCTGCAGGAAACTTTCCCTTGAGTGTTCTTTCGTAGCCTGCAATCACTTGAGGCGCTGTTCGCTGGAGTTCTTCTCTAGTAAACCAACGATCTTCACTGGGGTCAATATGGTGTCTGAATCTGACACGATACCGCATCCTTGACTTTGGAGGACGGCCTCCGCCGGGAGGTTTAGGCACTGGCAGCACCTGGAGCTCCACAATTCCGTCGATGTCGACTTCACCACCCATGGTTGGGGGCAGCATTGATCGTCTGGAGGGAAAGTGTGCAGTTTCTGCGAAAGGTGCCAGCTTTAAGGCGTGGAAGACTGGGTCTGTGCGTAGGTGAGCAGGGACGCAGGAAGGTCCATGTATCTGATCCCCCACTATGTCTAGGACCTCCCAAGGACCGAAATACTGCGGCATTAACTTTCTGGAGATTGCCAACTCCTGTCCCAGTTCAGATGATTTAACCCATACCCGTTCTCCTATCTGAAACTGAGATGGCCGTCTATGCTTGTTCTCGGATGCAACCATGGCATCCTGAGCTTTCTTATGTGCTCTACAACCTGTTGCAGCATCTGTTCATACTTGACAGCAAACTCTATGCTGCCAGGTGCTGCAGATGGTCGACTCTTCGGTAGTAGAAAATCTAAGGCGGTTCTAGGCTTCCTACCAAGATGCAGTTGGTTGGGACTCATGCCAGTAGTGCTATGGACAGCGTTGTTGTACAGGGTGGCGACGAGTGGCAATTTCTCCTCCCAGTCGTCCTGACTTGGCTTGAAATAATGTCTTAGCAGGTGCTGCACTACTCGCTTCATCTGTTCTTCCTGACCATTTGACTCAGGGTGATTTCCTGACGGCATCTGCAGTCTGGCACCCATCTGTCGGGCAGTATTTTGCCACAGTTCGCTTGTAAAGTGGACATCCCTGTCGCTGACAATGGACTTGGGTAAACCAAAGTCCTGTACCCAGTTATCCGTAAACAATCTGATGACGTAGTCAGTTTTAGCGGTTTCTGGAATAGCGATTAGCCTTGCATACTTGGAAAACTGGTCCACTATAACGAAGATGTCTCTTCCCACTCCTGCTCATCACAAGAGTATTCATGAAGTCCATCGACACACTTTGACCAGGACCTTCAGGAACCGGCAAGGGTTTGATAAGCCAAGCGGAGCCTGAGTCCTAGGTTTGTCCCGTTGGCAAACCTGGCAGGTTTCAATGTACCTTTTTGCATCTTGAATCATAGAAGGCCGCCAGAATCTCTTAATAACTCGTATATCGTCTGCAACACATCCAAAATCGTGCGTATCCTCTCCCACCACTCGGGTGTATTAACAGTCTGGTACGTCAGGTCAGACTTGTCCCGATCTTTCCTTGTGCTCCATCTCAATTGCCTCCACCCCTCGTCCATCATCTCCTCAAGCACACACCTCCTTCCCCAAAACCGGAACATCATCATGTATGCGGAAGCAAACTGGACCTCCGTGGGCAAAATCAAGGTCAGTTCCCTGGAAAGTTCTGAGCACCTCGTGTAAAGGCTGGCGGTGTTATGGTGTTTCCTTGTGAACTTGACCATCATCTTTTTGCACTGCACCACTTCCTTCACCCACTCCAACTTGCAGATTTATCCTTCATCAACAAGTTCAAGCAGTGAGCTGCGCACGGTACCCATGGAATGCTTGATATGTCACGATCTGTACGCCTTGTCTGTGCAGATTGCATTAACCTGCTGCACCCCAATGCCCCTGATCATCTGCTCCCACATCATCGCCAAAGCGACTGCGGTCTTCTTCTTCTTCGACACATCCACGACCTTCAAAAGGATTGCACCGCTTTCGTCGGCCCCGATGAAGTTCATCATAGGTCTGTACCTTCGATCTGTGCGGCCATCAGTGAGGAGGGTGCAACCTGTGTTGTCCCACTTCGCTTTCAGCGGATGCATGTCTTCCTGCACCCTGTTGTAGGTGATGTCCAAAACAAGAGTTCCGATGATCTCCAAGGAAGGCGTCTTCACCCGCTGCTTTTTCTCCCCCAACTCAAGTTACAAATCATGCAGCTCTTGTGTCTCTTTCGTCCTCACATAGTTGAATGGGGCGCCGTGTCGAAAAAGGTGCGTCCCCCATGCCACATCCAATCTTTGTTGCGAGTAGTTCATTGCCCACCTTTTGATCGATGCTTGTGTAAACTTCCCGGATTTTGTAGCCCGCAGCGGATCCTTGTGCAGACGTCCCGGGCATTCCACGACCTTCTTCCACAACACCCTCTCTGCCTCTTCATTAACATCCGTGGTCGTCTCTGTTCTGCTCTGCCGTGCTGTCGGTGGCACTATGAATGCATCCAATGTGTCCCCTTGTGCCTCCACCTCCGGAATTGCGGGAACATCCAAACCGTCCAGGGGGATGTTGTGCTCCATCCGATACAATTGGATGAGTCACAATGTCTTCTTGCAGTCAATCGCATGCCCCTTCGCATTAAGGATGTGAAGCATCCCGGAGACACGCGCAGGGCATGGATTAGTTTTCCGTGTGAAGTATGGGCACGCACGCGTGTCTGACGCGACCCAATCTGCGCTGCACAGATTGCACTTCACTCTGTACTGCCCCTTCGACAATGGCGGGACCATCTGCCCTTGCGTCACCCACTTGAATGCCACCTTCGTCGCCTGCAGCTGCAACTGCCTTGCCTCAGGCTGTGGCTGAAATGGTTCCTTCACGCGTGTGGCTCTATCGTCTGAACCCGCCACCTCCTTCCCCCTCGAAGTGCCTGCCCCACTTGAAGATGCCATCTTGCACAAGGTTCTCAAACGAAGAGGGAAAGAAGAAGAATAAGAAGAAGAAGAGGGAGAGCTTGATGTGAAAAAAAGAAAAGGAATCGCAGAGTCAGGCTGACAAGAGGAGGAAGAAGAAGAAAGAAGAAGAATAAGAAGAAGATGAGGAAAAAAATTAAAAAAATCGCAAAGTCAGGCTGACAGCCTGACACAGTGCCACGCACGTCAAAGTATGAAGGCTACGGTGGTGAGGAAGTGAGTCTATGGAGACCGAGAGGTGGAAGGAGGAAGCAGAAGAAGAAGAAGAAGTGAAAAAAATGAAAAAAAATTGCAAAGTCAAGCTGACAGCCTGTCACAGTGCCACGTCAAAGGACGGAGGCTACGGTGGTGACGGAGGGAGTCTATGGAGACTGAGAGGTGCAAGGAGGAAGAAGAAGAAGAAGAAGAAGAAGAAGAAGAAGAAGAAGAAGAAGAAGAAGTGAAAAGAATGAAAAAAAAATCGCAAAGT